GGTGATACAAACCAAAAAAGGAAAAAAACAAAAAATATCCTTTTTTATTGGCACAAATAACACATCAGAGTCACGATATTAGGGTTAGTAGTAAAGGTAATATATACTAAAATTTTGCAAAGAATTTTTTTTATTAGAACATTAAAGATGATTTCTTAGTCAGAATTTTGAGCTACCAGCTATTTTTTAAAAAAGCTTTCGTTTTAATGTTACACCAACTGTTACACCTGATCTTGCGATCTATATAAGAAAATTTCTTTATTTGGTTCGTATCACCGGTGCAAATAAGTGTACGCGGATCTTGCCTATGACTTTATTTATTAATAATACTTTATATGTATCATCACATTTCTGGTATTATATATATCAAGTACACCAAGCTCAGACCCGGATCCTATTGGTAATCTACGCTCTAGCCGAAACCATTACTTGTGTGATAGATGTCCCCATCCGCTACCGGCTACTGATCCAATTATCTGTGATCCAAACCTACCAGAGTAGCCATCATCATTGACGCACTCATCTGGTATTTTACCACCCTTCACAAGTTCTATTTTAGTACACTTCCCTATAACATCATTCACTGCATCTCTTATACTACTTATACCTAAGCTCTCAAATTTGGTAATCTCTTCTGGGATATGGCCTCGTAGCCTCAAAAGCTACTTCTAATCTTGGTTATCTTTAGCTAGTCTGCCCAGGTAGTATCACGAAGAGGAACTCATGCTGGCCCAAGTTAAACCTCATCATTAACGTCTAGTTTAGTTAGTATACTGCCGATTCCTATTACCTTATCAGTAGGTACTCCCGTGTGTTGATGCAGGCTCACTATATTGCATTATAGGTTATCCCATAACTTCCAGATTGCAGGTTTTATATTACTTCTTTTTTATAGTTTGAGCTATGGTGTTTCAGTGCTTTGACATTTTAGGTTACAAAGCTCTAGGGGTCTAGACCTAGTTGCGGCTTGTGGTCTATAATACTTCCAATTTCAATATTTGGTGTTCCTTATCAATTTTTGGTATACAAACCTGATTTATACAATTGTACTACCAGCTCAGTGAATCCAGCTATTTCAAGTTTTTATCACATACTCTGAGTTTCAGCCTTCTCGCTCTGTCCTCACAGGTTTCTTCCTTAATAGGCAAGTGGCTTGGGGTCAGAGGTGCTTCTGAACTCTGAATAGACCAATCCTTTACCACAAGTCATCCTCGTGTTCACCACTTTTCTCACTACTCTAGTTTTGTTGCCGTTGTGTTACTTTTCCAATCAAGTACCCCAACCACTGGGGATGTTGGTGCTGCCCCGGTCACCCCTAATCAAGGACTAATGTGTGCAACCTTTGTGTAACAGAACCTTCTATGACTTGTCATATATAGTGCCACTGCTCCATGATTGGACCTCCTTCCAGGAATTTCCTTTTCTGGTTTCGTACTTGCACTCGGACTTAACCACAGGGCTCCGCATTCGATTATAGCCCCCTATTGGGTTACAGAAGCTAAAATTCTAGGATTTTGCCTCCAGCCCAACTCGAACCATTGACCTAGTCTGTGGGGTTTGGCAGCTTAACCGCTAAGCTATAGGGCCCAAACCCACTAGAAAATTTTTACTTTCGCATCTATAGTAATTTATATATAGAACCACATTACGTTTTACTATGATCATTCTTCAGTTGACTAGAGAATTATCAATTAATATTATGTGTTATGATGCTAAGTTTTTTTACTTGATTAATATAATCTTTGTTTGTAATATATAAAATATGTTTTTTTTTTTTTTTTTTTTTTTTGGTTTAGGCTGCAGATAAACTAGTTTGAGTTTCTTTTCTTGTTATCTTAGGATATAGAGTTTAAATGTATTCTTTTTATTGTAAGAGA